GTTGCCGGCTGGGTTTGAACCACGACATAGTTAAACTCCAGCTAATGTGTTAGCTGAGTGTTTCCAAATCACTGGATGGAAGTGGTGGGCTTTACATGATGGGTGGGTGTGCATCTGTGATTTCACTTCCTAACTGCAGGTCAGAGCCCTAAATCTTAGATATTAAAGACTTCATCTGTGGGGCACTTTGTAGTGTTTTAATGAGCCTTGCTCTAAAACTTGATCGTTGCTCACAAGTTAACCATTTTTATTTGACAGAGCTGCATAACCAAGGCCAAAATATGATGCAATTAGCAAGAATCTTGAAAAGTTGATGCTTAGAAGCTGTGTTTTTAACTGACCCCCTGGACTGAGAAAAGCACCAATGAAATAGCAAGTGCATCCAGCACAGTGTGGAAATTCCAAGTAAACAAGGTGTTGGCTAGCTCCAGGGACCCTTGCTGATCCCTCATTAGCAAGCACAGGGCTGACTGATTCTGTTGTTGCATGAATGGGCTGTTGCCCTGCTGAGTAACTGGATCCACTGTGGCAGTGCTAATGGGGCAGCAGCACTGTGCCTTCTTCGCCCAGACAGATGCCGAACTACAGTGTAGAGGTGGGAGAAGGAGGGAGAGGGAACAGACTGTCCAGCCGTTGTCCCTCCTGGAGCGTCTCCCACTGCCAAGCCACGAGCTGGCTCACTCTCCCTTCTTCTCCATCCCTGGATACCAACAGCAGTGAACTCTTGTAAATGCAGCATATATTGGCTTGTGTGGTCTCTCTTTTTTTCATGAGTTATGATGTGTGAATAGAAGAGTCCCGAGAGCTGAGCAACTGTATGGTGCCACAGGTTCTTCATGACTGATTTTTGCAACCTCTTTTTCAGGACCATGTACCAGCATTTCCTTTTCCTTTTCTTCCTTTCCTTCCATCCCCATAAATGCCAAGATCAAACCCTGGGTGAAGATCCATATGAAATACCCAAAGACTACCAGGAGATATACAGAGGGACAAAAAATGATGTCAAAGACATTCCAAAGATTGCCAAGCCCTTCGTTTCTGAGATGATCTTTGTGCAAACCAGCATCACTGCTATAAGGAAAGGTGCCTTCAGGTACATGCCCAACCTGATCAAGATTTTGTTTATTGGCAACAAAATCAAGACAATTGAACCTGGAGCCTTTGATAATTTGGACAAGCTGAGGGACTTGGACATCTCTGGTGCCCTGTTAGAAGAACTAGCTGCAGGAACTTTCCAAAACCTTCCAAGCTTGCAGAGGCTGGAGCTGAGAGACAGCCACCTCAGATACATCCCCAAAGGACTGTTCGATGGGCTGGGAAGTTTGGGAGAGCTCTCCCTGCACATCAATGCAATCCCTTCTCTTCCAGAAGGCGTTTTTGATTCCCTTGTCAATCTAACATTTTTGGACTTGGCCAGAAACAGGATCACAACTCTTCCTGGGAATGCCTTTAGCAAACTTGCTCAGCTGCGCGTCCTCCGGCTGTATGAGAATGAGTTGCAGGACCTCCCAGAGGGGCTGCTGGACAGCCAGACAGGGCTGGTGGAGCTCAACCTGCAGAGGAACAGGCTCAGGGCTCTGCCACCCATGCTTCTGAGGAGCCTGCCTCACCTGGAGAAACTCTTCTTGGACAACAACCTCATCAGGGTTCTCCCACCTCAGGGTTTCTTTGGTTTAATCAAATTGAAGCTTCTGACTCTGGGTTCAAACTGCATTACGGAGCTCCCCTGCTGCCTTTTTAACACCATGGCAGACCTGCAGGAGCTGGACCTGGGCAGGAACAGTTTGGCCATGCTTCCGGACAGCATCTTCGTCAACCTCACATCTCTTGGCAAACTCACCTTGTTCCACAACCAGCTAGCAGCCCTACCAAAAGGAGCTTTCACTGGGCTCAGCAAGCTCTCAGACCTCCAGCTGGATACAAATCATCTCTCTGCTCTGGATGATGAGGTCTTTGCTTCTCTCCCAAATCTGAAAACCCTCAACCTTCGGAAGAACCAGCTAGAGAGTGTTCCTCCAGGGCTTCTGGACTCCCTGAAGAAGCTCAGCTCAGTATATCTAAGTGGGAATCCATGGAGATGTGATTGCAACCTCTGCTACCTGCACAGCTGGATCCTAAGCAACAGTGAGAAGGTCAAATTGTCCGCCCAAGTGTCATGTAAGAGTCCACCCCACCTGGCAGGGCAAGCAGTGGCATCACTGAAGGACAACCACTTAATTTGCCCAGTTACTCAGCCTCTTTCATCTTCTTTTACCCCATCTTTGCCATCCACCTCCACATCATCACAAGGGATGTCAACCTTGCTGCCCATTGCAGCACCAACCATGCTTTCATTGGCAGCCTTTCCTGTTATGACACTGCCAGCCATGCTGTCACCTGTCGCCACCTCTGCCATGTTGCCATCCATACCAAGAGAGACCTTCTTCACCACTCCATCTCCAGCTATGCCATTCAAGGCCTTCACGACCACACGATCTCCAGCTGTGCTTCCCAAGACCTCCATCAGCACACCATCATCAACCAATGTGCCCAAGACCTCCTTCAGCACACCATCATCAACCAATGTGCCCAAGAACTCCATCAGCACACCACCATCAACCAATGTGCCCAAGACCTCCATCACTACACCATCAACCATGCTGCCCGAGACCTCCATCACTACTCCATCACCAGCTGTGCTGCCAGAGGCATCCGTCACCACTCCATCACCAGCTGTGCTGACAGAGGCATCCATCAACACACCATCACCAACTGTGCTGCCAAAGGTCTCCATTGCCACCCCGTCATCAACCATGCTGCACAAGACTTCTATCTCCATGCCATCACTAGCTGTGCCAGAGGAGTCCTTCAGCCTGTATCCAACTCGCTTGTATCCACCCCCAGCCACCATAAGCTTACAGCCTCCTGGGGCCACCAGCCCAGAGCCTGCATTGTCCGCTTTAGCTTCTGCTACCACACCAGCACCAACCAGCCCACTGGCAGCCACCACCAGACACGTGCCTCGTGTTCTGGTGCCCACAGAGAGGCCACCCACCATCCCACGGGGGACACCCAGCATCTCCCTTGTCTCAGTGCCACCCACGACACCCTGGCCACCACCCAGGGCTGCTGTGCCAGGCATGGTCCCGCCAGCCTCACACTCCCCTTCCCACCATGCTCCTGCACCAGGCAGAGAGCGGGACCATGCCCCCACATGGGTCTCGTCCACCGCTGGCACCCAGCCCGCTCCCAATGCCCCAAAACACACTCCCACTACTGCAGGCACCATCCTGCTCCCGGTGCCTTCCGTCCCCCCGGTGCCAGACCATATGAGCCCCCAGCCGCCCTCCCCGGCCCCCAGTATCCATCATGCCTGGGGCTTTTCCCTATGGTCCAGCCCACAGCAGTGCCAGTTGTCCCTGGCGCTGGGCCTCGCGGCACTGGTGCTGCAGGCAGGCT